ACAATTGCCTGAAAGAAAAAGGAAAAACCATTAAAGAAAGTGATATATGATGCAATGTGGAATCTTTAAAAAGAAATGCTGATGTCCTAAAACAAAGTTACATACACAGGACCTGTGTGCTTATCAAACTCCTACATAAAAACTAGCAAAATATCGTGATGTATTGGAAGATGAACTGCAAATACATTAGTAAGTCCCAGGACTACATTAACTCTCAGATATAGTCTAACCACCAAAAGGTATGTGGGATCATTACAAAGTGCATAGTGATTAGAGTACCCTTAACACATTCATGCCAGAGAGACAGTTATAGCAGCACCAATATGTGAATACTTACCTCAAGTTTGGCAGCGCCCATTCCCTCCCTATTGTGCATTCCATATGCACAATAGAGGACAAAAAAAGACAGGGACTGTGGTCCCCAAACTAAAAGACAGTCTGGATCTAAACTGACTGTAGTTGCTGTTTTTTGAGCAGCTCCAATTAATCTATATTGCCGGATTCTAACTGTTCTATGGGGATTAACTACCTATCTCAATACACTGATGGACAGTTAAAAACGGAGGTAATCATTTTAAATGTTTAGGCCTTATCTACTCAATGAATTTAATTTTTTTTTGCCTAGAATAACCATTTAAAGAGTCCACCCCCTATTCCTTCAATGAACACTATAGCATTAGGAATACAAACATGTATTCCTAATGCCATAGTGTTCCCCTACCTAGCGAGGTGTCCAACCCGCTTGCAGGGATTTAAAAAGGTAGATTTTACTTAACTTACATCCTGTGGCGCACAGCTCTGCTCAGTGCCATTGCTTCTTTGGCGGAGATCATCAATATTTATGATTTCAGCCAATCCAATGCTTCCTGCATTGCTTGTGAGGCTAGTGCACAGAAAAATCAAAACCCTGTGCCATTCAAATGCTCTTAATGTTTTTGTCATTTGAGTTTGGTTATAGCTGTGAAAACCATTCTAGTGTTTGTCTTCCTTGTAGCTACTCAAGGCGGGATAAACATGTAATGAAAACGTTGCCATTCATGAAATAAACTCTAATATATATTGAATCTCTTTCATACCAGTAAATACTACTATAGTTTTTACTGGTGCAAATAGAGCCGTTGAGTTCAGTAAAAAGCTTACTTATCTCCATCATGCTTCCAATTTGAGGCAAAGTGGAGTCCCTTGGATATGCAAACTGGCATCTAACAAAAATTCTGAATTCTCTCATGCAGTGCCATACAGACATATACTACATGTGTATGACACTGCTATAGTTCATTTACATGCTTCGCTTGGCCTTGGCAAAATACATAACTTCAAGTAAAAAGAAAAGGGGAAAAAAAAAAACCAATAAACTTTTAGCTATTAGGTTATTTTAAAAGTGAGGAAGTGACAATTCCTCTGTAATGTAACATTAGTCACCCAGATCACTTCAACTCAAAGAAGTGATCTGGGTGCAGCTGTTCTGTAATTTTAACCCTGCAAAGCAAAACACACAAAACACCTAATACATGCATAGACACACAATGCTAAATACATACACACAAAACTACTTAATACAGACAAAGCAAGCAACCCTCTGTCTTCCCCCATATAATCAAGTAAAAGCAGGGGTGTGAGGGGGTGGCAATAGAAGCAGCCCATTTCAGTTAGCCTAGTACCGCCTCTCTCCCTCACAGGGCCCACTGGGATACCAGGAAATGCAGCACCTGAGGCCGGGCAGACAGCTGGCGTGGCCGCAATTAGGCTGCTGGCAGCCGGAGGGAAACCTGTGCTCCACTACATGCTACTTAATGAGACCGGGGCCAGAATATGATGTCATATTCCGGCCCCGGTCTCATTAAGCTGTGCGTTGGGGAGCAGAGCAAAGACTGCACAGCTCCCTATTCGCACAGCCAGCCACCCGCCCTGCATGACCACCTAGCATGCCGCCCTCGCCTGCACAATCGCCAGGCCAGTCGCTCACTGGACTGCGCCTGTCTCTGCGTATTTGTGCGTGTTTAGGTTACCAGACCCCTTCCATTGGCAAGGGTTTTTACTCCCTTTTTTCCCCTCACACCGTGCTGGTCTCCCCTCAAGTGGCCCTGTCTCTATGGCTGAGATCATCAAGCTTGATGATCTCAGCCAATCCAATATTTTGCCATAGGATTGGCTGCAAAATGCTACACCAATCAGCATCTTCTCATAGAGATGCATTGAATCAATGTATCTCTTTGGTGAACATTCAGCGCCTCCATGCAGAGCGTGGAGGCGCTGAATGTAGGTGCTGCACTAACAGAGCACCTCTAGTGACCGTCACTAGAGGAGTCATTAGGAAGCAATGTAAACACTGCCTTTTCTCTGAAAGGTCAGTGTTTATATTGAAAAGCCTGCAGGGACAGGCTATAGACACCATAACCACTAAATTAAGGTGTGTGTGTGTGTCTGCTAGTGAGTGATCTTGTCTGTGTACGGGAACGGGTGTCATTGGTTAGTTCTACTAATCGGTGCATACTGCTCATGAAATCTGTCAGAGTGTTTTGGAACAGTTTGCTAATGCCTGAGGTTCTCCACTGCATATATAACCAGATCCCTCTAAAGAAAGGTTTTAGAAGCATATCATATCGGTTTCATTGTAGGTGTGGCATTGTGCCAATGACTCGTTCGCAAGAAAAAGTAAAGGGTGTCCACAGAAAATCTAGACCATGTTTATTACAAATTTTCTGTAGGGAGCATGTGTGTGTCAGTGAGCTTGTCTGTAGTGAGTGTGTGTGTGACAGTGAGCTTGTCTGTAGTGAGTGTGTGTGTGACAGTGAGTTTGTCTGTACTACGTTTGTGGGTATACCAATAAGCTTGTCTGTGTGTGAGTGAGCCTGTGTGTGCGCACATGTGTTTTTATGTCAATGAGCTTAAGTATATCAGTGAGATTGTTTGTCTATGAGCCTGTGTGTGTGTGTCAGTGAGATTGTCTGTGTCTGCATGGGAGTATGCTTACTGTATAATTAAATGTTTTACTCTGAAAGGACCAATATCTTATTAGAAAAAGAAAAATATATAATGTATATATTACTCAATCATCTGTGGTGACAAGACATGGCCTTACATATTACATGTGACAATATATGGCGCAATGACTTATGGGGCTGGCATAGATTTTGCTCCCTCAGGTCATGCGGTCATGTTTCTCACTTACATTTCTGTCAGGCACAGGACATGGGGTGGCAGCATATGGGTGCTGTGTCCTTGTTCTGTCCTACTCTTCGAAAGGTTGATTGTCCACGTACATCATAAGGTGTGCCTGGATGTTCGGCGGGCCCTTGATCAACAGTGCAATTGCTGCTGCCAGCCTTTGCACCTGGCACTTTAATATTTAAATCAAGCCCATCCAGCATATTCTAACGTGGTGATGCTGATCCAGATATACAGTACAGCGTACTCCCTCTTAAAGAGCACCCTAGGCCACAGCCTAATTGGCCTAATGGAAGCACTGGCGGAGAGAAGGGAACCTATAGTCCTACAGATTGGTAGTTTTGGTCCCCTTTAATACACTATACAGGTGATACAACACCCATTTACTGGCTTCTACCAGGATTAAGATTGTGCAGTATCATTCAGATGTACCTAAATAATTAGTTCCCTTTATACAACAGATGTGTCAATTGTGTTCCTATTTGGATTAAACTGATTAGTTGAGAGCATCAGCTGATGTTTTAAACTGGTTTCAAGGAGACATTACTTTACAGTGGTTATGGTACCCATACTGCATTTTTTTAACATAACAAAAAAGATAAACACGTGTATGTGCAGTAAAATCTAAATTATTTAATTTTAATACACTCACATTAACCATTTCACCCATTTAAAATAAATGTAAAGACACCTGTTCTGTGCAACCATTCATCCAAACCCAAGAGAAAACTAAAACCCAAGTTAAAAAGCAATAAATGTAACGCCACAACTCACCTTACTCCCTGCGCATTTATCCAAAAACTCCCGTAGCTCCATACGCATGGCCTCCCTCAAAACACTGAGGTTTACCCGACCACAGGAGAGATGGGCCGCCATCTTGAATCGTTTATTGACAGTATAAGTCATGGGACCGATCTCCGGGTCACGTGATAGGAAGAAGGGCAGCACGAATGTCTCGGTTCGGCTTCAGTGCCCGGCCGGAAGTGACGTTCTAGCCTTGTGCCCCTTGCTTGCAGAGGGTCGGGCTCTGATTATAACCCTCTACTTATAGATTGCAAACGGTTCACCTGTGACACGTGCTGGCAATTACAAATTGTGACAGTGACACATTGATTGTAGAAAGTTTTGCAGCGTGCTCTAAAATATATACATCTAGTTACTAATAAAATGACAATATTGGGAGTGCTAGCCTGTGGTTACATGGAAGGCTAGCTTTAGTCAAATCTATTGTTACAGTGATAGGGAGTTCTTATTATTAATATGATCCTGGGCCTGAAACTGTTCACAGCAGAGAGAACCAAAAATAACTCAAATATGTTGATTAATTAAAAGATTTTACAATTATCATGACGGAAAGTCATGATTTTATTAAAGACACGGAGGCGAGTATTATGCTGCACTCTTTCTTTAATTCCCTCAGCAGCAAAGAAATATTATTTGAAAATTTAACATCATATCTGACAATGTTCGCTTAGCAACATGACCCTCCAATCGGTGATATCCCTCTCCTATAGTAGGTGGAGCATCGATGACCACTTCCTCTTTCTTGCGAATCCCAAAGAATAATTCAATTCCAAACAAGAACGACAAACAAACAAACTGGACTCATGCCTGAGCTTGAGGGACTTCTTTCCAACCAAGTCACGCTAAAAGAAACAAGAAAATATGGTAATTTCCAGAAATCAAGGGTTGTCAGGTTATAGAGGCTCGATCGTCCGATTAAACATTGATAGTAATTCGTAAACTTAGCAATTCATAAACTTAGTATGAAAATGACAATTAGTTTGCCGATAACAGTGACAAATAAAGCCCATCATTAAGTAGTACTCTAGAGTAATGTAGGTATGCAGTGGCATCTGTAACATCAAATTGAACTTACCATGGGTTGTCCGTCACTTACCTGCACCCACATCCAAGCCGTCTAGGGGCGGGTGGGTGGGCTAATACTCACCTTCGTGTCTTTAATAAAATCATGACTTTCCGTCATGATAATTGTAAAATCTTTGAATTTTATTAAAGACCCGGAGGCTCCTATTATGCTAGTTTAAAGCTGTGATATCACGGCTTCTGTGAAATGTTGGATTGGTTTGAAATAGAAATTACAGAAAGTAGTTTCCGTGGACCAATCCGCTGCTTTTAATATATCTTCCAAACGACAACCCACAGAGGAAGCTTTGGAGGCCATGGCGCCACGAACTGAATGCGGAGAAAAATTGGAGGTATCAATGCCCGCCAAGGACATGAGCCACTTGACCCGGCGGGCCAAGGTGGGAGTGGAAACCGGAGCGTGTGGTTTGCGGAAGGAGATAAAGAGCTGGGGGTCTTCGTAAAGAGCGGTACGAGCTTCGTATGCTTTAAGACATGCTACTGGGCACAGAAGTGGTTTTGTGGGGAAGGTCGGGTATCGGATCGACCGAGAGGACGATTTTGTCCTCCGTGAAATGTCAAAGACGACTCCGTCCGGGGAGAAGGAGCGGGCGTTGACATCGAGGGCCCTAACGTCTGATACTCTTTTACAGGAGATTAGGCATAACAACATGACCAGCTTAGCTGAGAGTTGTTTTAGGGATAAAGCTTCGTTGTCTGGCCATCCAGTCAGGAAATTCAACACCTGTGAGACATCCCAGAGGGAGGAATAACGAAGTAAAGGAGGCCTTGCGAATCGGATGCCGTGGAGGAGGCGGCAGACAAGTGGGTGTCGCCCCACCGGGGTACCGTCAATACCGGCGTGGCCGGCTGAAATCGCTGATCGGTAGAGATTCACCGTCCGATAAGCTTTCCCATCCTCATAGAGGGAGGTTAGAAATTGGAGGACATTCATCACAGGAGTTGATAGGGAATCCACACCTCTTGCCAGTGCACCAATCATCCCATGTGCGCCAAGCAGACTTGTAAGACTGTCTCGTGCCGGGTGCCCATGCGCCCTCGAGAAGTCGGAGAGCCGATTGCAAAAGTCCCCCGATTGCCCAGGGTCCTCGGAAATTAGCCATGCTGTGAGGCGGAGGAGGCCCTGGAGGATCAGGGGATGGGTGGTCCCGTCGAGGTCCCGTAGGAGGGAGTGGGAGTCCGGGAGGAGTCTTGGGCGATCTATAGCCATCTCTAGTAATGGAGAAAACCAGGGTTGTGATGGCCAGAGGGGGGTTATTATCACTAGGCAGCCTGAGTGGCGTCGTAAGTGAAGCAGGCACCGCGGGATAAGGGCGAATGGAGGGAATGCATAATTCCTGGTGGTGGACCAGTCTTGGGAGAATGCATCCATAGCCAAAGCCTTCGGGTCTGGTCTCCAGCTGAAACATTTTGGAAGCTGGGTATTCAAGTGAGAGGCAAACAAGTCTATAGTTAGAGGGCCCCATAGGTCCTGGATGTAACGGAAAATATGGGGGTCGAGGTGCCAGTCGCTGGAGTCCCGTAGGTGGCGGGAATACCAATCCGCTGTAGTGTTGGACAACCCTGGTAAATATTCTGCCCTGACAGTGATGTTGTGTTGGAGGCAGAATTGCCAGAAGTCCCGAGCCAAATTCGCTAGGATTTTGGATCTCGTGCCTCCCAGATGATTTATATAATGGACCGCTGATATGTTGTCCATTTTCAGTAATATTGAGCACTGGGACAGGGTCGGGGATAGGCTGCGGATTGCAAAGGACCCCGCTAGGAGTTCTAAGCAATTTATATGCAAGGTGGATTCCAAGTCCGACCAACGCCCACCTGTGGAGACGTCTCCGCAAAGAGCTCCCCATCCGTGTGAGCTTGCGTCTGATTCTATGACTATCTCTGGGGCCGAGCCGAAAATGGCTTTGCCATTCCACGCCTCCATGTGTCGTAGCCACCAATGGAGTTCCTCCTTCGCTTCTGTGTCTAGCGTTAGGGTATCTTTGTATGAGGCGCCTCCCCTGAGGTATGACACCTGTAGGCGTTGGAGGGCTCTGTAATGGAGGGGACCTGGAAAAATGGCCTGTATGGAGGCAGCCAGGAGTCCGATGACACGGGCCAGGCTTTTGAGAGATAACTGCGGGGAGGCTACGACACGCCTTATCTCTTTTTTGATATTCCTCATCTTGGAGGTAGGTAAGAATAGGGTTTGTGTCATTGAGTCCACTAGGAGTCCTAGAAACTCTATTCTCTGAGTGGGAACGAGTATGGACTTCTCCCAGTTGATAATGAAGCCTAGATTCTGTAATAATGTTATGGTCCAACCGAGGTGAGTGTGGAGTTGGGGCACCGATTGGGACAGCAGTAGGATGTCATCCAAATATATGATTAGGTGAATCCCTCGACTGCGAAGGAGAGCCACCACTGGTTTCATGAGCTTGGTGAAGCACCAAGGCACGGAAGAGAGACCGAAAGGAAGGCAGCGGAATCGCCATTTTTTTCCTTGCCAAGTGAATTGCAAGTAGTCCTGATGGGTCTCCGTGATGGGCACCGTGAGGTACGCATCCTGTAGATCGAGCTTCACCATCCAGTCCGATGGTTGAAGCAGATCTCGTAGACAACGAATGCCTTCCATTTTGAAATGGTGGTAATTTACATAGGAATTTAGATGTTTCAGGTTGATGACCGAGCGGTTTCCGCCACCTTTTTTGGGGACTATAAACAGGGTACTCACAAAACCCGGAGTATGCATCGGGATTTCTAGAATAGCCCCTTTGGATGCCAGCTCTTGGATTTCCTCGGAAACGAGGATGGTATCTGTTCGGGAAAAAACAATCTCCCTGGGCGGGAAGTGTTGGACAGGCGGGGATATGAAGTCTATGAGATATCCGTGGACTGCTTTGAGTATCCAGATATCTGAGGTAGTGAGAGCCCAGACATGGGAAAAATGTGTCAGTCTGCCCCCAACTGTGAGATGAGAATAAAAATGAGGTAGGTAGCTTACTGTAAGGACGTCTTCCGGAAGTAGCGCCTCGTGAACCTCTTGACACCCATGGTCTGCCTCTTTGAGGGAAGAAGGTCGGGGTGGACCTCTGTTCTGGAAAGGGGGTTCTCCCCATGTAGGAGCCTCGGTTCGGTTGTCGTGAACCTCTAGGAGCTCTGCCGGACAGACGGCCCCTTGCTCTGCCGGCCCCAGAAAAAACCTTCGGGTGGAACACCCGTTTCATGTTTAATTGTGCCTTGTCCAAGGCAGTAAACGTCTGGACATATGCGCCCAGGTCTTTGACAAATGAATCTCCAAAGAGGAAACCTTTAGCCTGAGGGCCTGGTTCTGTGATTGCCATATGAATAAGTTTAGGCTCTATCTTTAGTAGGATAGATTTCCGGCGCTCTGTTGCAAGAGCGGTATTAGCGTTGCCAATGAGGCATATAATTCTTTGGATCCAGCCTCTAATCGTGAGGCGGTCTAGGACCTCATCTCGAGCCAAGGATTCCTCCACGGCTTCAAATATTTTGGTTGCTTGTCCCAATATATCTAGGACCTTGTCCTGGCAATTATATAATGAAAAATCCAAGCCTTTTTTCGGCTTCCATCCCGTTTTACTCAGGAATTGGATAATTTTGGGATCAACTAGGGGTGTCTTACAGGCCTCATCAGGAACAGTGGGGCGTGGGCATTCAGCCCTTAGCTTATTTTGGGCCGCTTGCTCTAGATGCCACATATTGTGCCACATGTTCCGCCGGCGACCACTCCGCTGAGCGGGGGTGGCGCAAATCATTGGGTTCATACAGGGGTTCGCCCTGAGGGTCGAGTATCTTGTCCCCTTTATTTAGGTCAGGGTTAGATGTGCCTGCGATATGTAAATGGGTAAAGGCTTTTGAATCCTCGCCAAATCCGTAATCTGAATCTAAGTCAGATAGCTCATTAGACTGGTCTGATACCAGTGACAACGCACTCTCCTCGTCTGAGCTGAGTTCGGACTCAGTATAATCTGGTTGGGCTTTAGTCCATTTCCAATGCCTAGCCGCTTTTGCTCGGCTAGAGGCTCGTTTGCGTGGTGGATTATTCACGCCATCTGAGACAGGTTTAGAACTGTCCATCATTTTTTTGGAGGTGTGCTTTATTTTTGCAGAGGCCTGGCGGCCGGGGTGTGTAGGGTGAGAGTCTGCTGGTGTCGCGGCTGGTATAGTTGCCAGAGGGACCGCTGATTGAGCCTGTAAAATCGCATGTGCGAAAGATTTTGACCGAGAGGAGGACATAATGTCCATTGCAGAAGCCAAGGCTTTTGACACAGTAGTGCCCATAATTGTCTGAATTTCCTCAGATGAGGGAAAAACAGTTTCATCCCCAACCAGTAAATGAGGTAAAACTAAGGTAGGTTGGGTAACAGATTGGGTCCCAGATGGCCCAGGTAACTCATTGGGGGACTGCATATCAAAAGAGAAAATGGTAAGGCAAAGAAATTTTATTGAAAATATATGTATGTACTGGGTTAAGTAACCCAGAAGAGAATGCCTGAAGCAACTGAGAAAAATAAATGTGTAGGGAGGAACTTATTCACTATCACTAATTACTCACAGCCGCTAAAGGACGGAGTGGGCGTATCAGAGGAAAAAACGGCGAGAAAATGGCCGCCGTGAAAGATGCACACACCAAGAGCCGCTGCCGTGGTGAAAAGGGGGGGCCCAAGGTGACTGCAGGGAGCAGCAGTCCCGACAATGGGGAGGGATTCAGCGCTGGCTGTGTGCGCGGTCGGAAACCGTTTCGACCGGACGCAACAGCCAGGATGTAAGATGGCCGCCGTGCACTTCAGATGTGGTGCGCATGCGCGGTCACGCGGGAATCCGATCCCCTGACAAGCGGCTGCAGCCGGAGGAAAAAACAAAACAAAACAGCAACTGACAAACACCTGAATTACAGTTAATCACACACAGTGTATGTCAGCAACTGATTAAGAATAAA